TTTTAAATGCATGCTTCTTGTTAAAAAAAAATAACCAAACAGTCTATGATTTTTCTGACCTCCTCAGATAACCACACCGTTAACCTCCAGCACTTTTAAAAATGTGCCCACTGATTCGCTCAATGATTTTATTGTTATTTTGATTTGATTTGCATCCCACTGAGGCGAAGTTTGTTTCAAGCATCCTACATCTATAGTTCCTCTGTTGTGAACTTCCTGTTCCAGTCCTTTGCTCCCCTTCCACCTAAGGAGAATTTAATGCTTTTCTTACTGATTTTTTTTAATTAAAATAATTTTTTAAACACTTTTGTTTATTTTTGAGAGACAGAGTGCAAGCAGGGGAGGTGCAGAGAGAGAGGGAGACATAGAGTCTGAAGCTGTCAGCATGGAGCCCGATGTGGGGCTCGAACTTAGAAGCGTGAGATCATGACCTGAGCCGAAGTCGGATGCCTAACCGACTGAGCCACCCAGTCGCCCCTTATGGATTTTTTAAAAAAAGTTTTTTTTTTTATTTTGAGTGAATGAACAGGGGAGGGTGGGGGGGGAGAGAATCCCAAGCAGGCTCCATGCTGTCAGTGCAGAGCCTGACTCGGGGCCGAGCCCAGGAACAATGAGATCATGACCTGAGCCGAAATCAAGAGTCAGACACTCAGTTGACTGAGCCACCCAGGCGCCCCCTTTCCTTGCTGGTTTTTAAGAGCTCTGTGGGAGGCAGAATTTTGGCTCCCTTGACCTTCACCTCCTGGCATCACACTAGTGGTTAAGGTAGGATAGCTGGCTAAAGGGATTTGCAGATGTAATTTAAGTTACTAATCAGCTGATCTTAAAATAAAATGATCCTGGGTTATCTGATGCGCCCAATGTAATGACAGGAGTCCTTAAAAGAAAGAGATGAGGCAGAAGGAGGCAGTTGGAGAGACTGGAGGCATCCTGCTGCATTTTGAAGCATGAGAGAGATTCAGTGCACTTTTGCTGGCTTTGATGATGGAAGGGGCCATGAGGGGAGGAATGTGGTAGTCTCTAGAAGCTGAGAACGATCCCTGGTCGACGTCCAGCAAGAAACAGGGACTGCCGTCATAGCCTCCCGGCAATGAATCTGCCAACCGTGTGCATGAGCCTGGCTCGGGCCAGCCAACACCTTGACTTTGGCCTTGTGAGGCCCTGGTGGGAGAACCCGGTCCAGCCGCTGGACTTCTGACCTCCAGGACGGAGAGGTGATAAATGGGAGTGGTTTTAGGTAAATTTGCAGAAATGTGTCACCACAGCAATGGGAAACAAGCTTTATGCGTTAACGTTAAAAAGACTTCATGTACATGTTGTAAATATTTTCCAAGAGTGTTACCAGTCTTTTCAAAGTTTACCCCTAACTATATTTAATCTTTCTAATTTCATTACCAGAGGATAAATTCAAGTTCCATTTTGGGGGGATATCCTTTGGGGTGATCCCCGCGTGCCCAACACTCGACATGCAAAACACAGAGTCCTGGGCCCTGCTCCGAGTTTCTGATTCGGGGAGTGCCCGGGAATCGGCCTTTTTCCCAGTGCCCAGGTGCTGCTGACGCACCCGGCCCAGGGACCGCGGTCGCCGGAGGCATTCCGCCCAGCCCTGGGAGGTCCTTAGAGCCCCTCCCTGCGGGGAAGGAAGCTGAGCCCCGCCCCTGACAGGCGGGGCCTAGGAAGGCCCCGCCTCCCCCACGCGAATCCTCCGTTCTTATTGGCTGGTGGCGAAGGGGCATCCCCTGTGTCACAGCGCGCTCCGCTCCTCCTCCCGACCTCCGGGGGCGGGGACGCCACGCCTGCGCAGTGGAGCTCGCGCGCGGAGTTCTGCGCTCCGGTGAAGGTCCGGCGGCGCGCGGCGACCCCATGGAGGAGCCACGGGAGGAGTCGGAGCCCCTTCTGAGCCGGGCCCGGGGCGGCAGTGGCCGCCCGGCGGGCTCGGCCGGCTCCCGCGGCGTCCGCGTTGGGCCTGGTGAGCGGCGGCGTGGCGAGGGGAGCGGGCCGCAGGGGTGGCGCGTGGGGTCCCCCCACTGCCCCGGCCCCGCGCCATCCGTTGCCGTCGCTCCCACCCCCGGGCCGGGGTCCGAGCGGGCGCGGGGCGCCAGGGGAGCCGCCCTGCGGACCCGGGCACTGGCGCGGGTGAGGAGTCGGCCAAGCGCTGCAGGGTCGCGCCCTGCCTCCGACCAGCCGGCCTCGGCCAGCCCGGGGCAGCCAGCGCCGTGCAGCCCCCTCGATGCGTCTCGGGTGGACCCGCGCCTCGCGGATCGCCTTGGTGACTCCTAGGAAGCAGCACTTCCGTTTTCCTCCCGGTTATTATGGGGGAAACTGAGGCACGGAGAGGGGCGTGCCCATACTCCGGGTCACCCAGCGGGGAGGTGCCTGAGGTGGGATTCGAATCCCGCTGGGAGTAGACTTAGGAGTCCTTTCAGTCTGCCCTCTCATTCCGGGTGCCCGGAGGCTCCCCAGGGGCTGGTCCCCCTTCAGTTTGGGCTTGGGGCGGCCCCCCCACCCCCCACCCCGGCCAGGGAGGAAGCTGCCTCCCTTTGCCCTCTGCAGCTCTCTCCTGTCCTTCCTGTTTACGGCAGAGAAATTGCTGAATCCCGAGGAGGGCGGGAGGGTGGAGTCCAGCGGTCTCTGGCAGACGCCCGGGGGGTTGGGAAGGGCCTCAGCCTCATCTTGCAGAGAAGGAAACCGAGGCCCGGCCAGGAGAGTATCCCGGATCTGTCCAAGGTCAGCCCTGGGATCTGTTGCTAGTGCCGAGCTGGGTGCTCCTTCCAGGGCCACTTTCCTTTTCTGGACGTAACTTTCTTCCTGGGTCCAGGAGGGGCCTGTGGTGTGCGCCCATCCGTGGACTGGGGGGATGGGTGCCTGACCCCAGACAAGAGGCTGTCCCCCAGGAAAGGTCTCCATCCAGCACGGATCCCTGGACAAGGGACATAGGACGTGGCGGCATTTGGGTGTCGGGGGGCGGGGGGGGGGTTGCAGACTTTGTGTCTGGAGGTCGGAGTGTCTTTCTCGTGCTGCCACTTCTGGCTGTGTGACCTTGGCAGGTTGCCTAACCTCTCTAAGCTTCAGCAAAAGGGAGGGAGTCGGAGGGGCTGACCTGAGGGGCGTTGTGACGATTCGGAGAGATTGCTGGGAATGCCCTCTGCACGGGGCCCGGCCAGGTGGCGGAGATGGGGCAGTCGGTGCTGATGGCCATTCTGGGCCTGATTGTGCAGGTCCTACCTAGTCTTGGCAGAGTGGACGGCAGGCCGCTGAGACCTGCATTGTAAGCCAGGAGCCAGGGCCAGGCGGCGTGGACCGTGAGAGAGGGCTCTTTGTCCCGACGCCATGCCTCGATGAGGCTTCCCGAGAGCGTGAGGGGCGCTCTGTGTTCTGAGTCTCCCCGGGTAGGCTGTTGGCCCCGGGGGGCAGGGGGGACCGAGAACGGCTGGTCACCTCCCAGCTCCCTAGCGGGGCTCCTAGGTGGGGTTCGTCCTGCAGTCGGATTCTCCTGCCAACCGGGGTCCGGGGACTGTGCTGCCCCACAGACCCTGCGGTCAGGTCCTTCTGACCCAGCCTCACCTCACGGGCTGCAGGGAGAGGGTGGCTGTTTTCTTGTTCCTGGTCGGGGCGCCCCCCTCTCTCTGGCTACGGAAAAGTCAGAGGCCGAGGGATTGTCGTGATATGGAAGGGGCTTTTAGAATAATACCTAGTAGCTACAGCAGCCCATTCAGTCTGCACAGCCGTGCCGTCGCATCTGACCTGTGAGGGGAAACTGAGGCATAGAGGTGCGGGGGCTTGCCCAGGGTCATCAGGGAGCTGGTCGGGGTCCCAGGCAGGCAGTGCAGGGTGGGGCCTGGAACAGGAGAGGGGGCTTAGACTGGATGTTGGGGATGGTGGGGGGCGGGGGGCTTGGGGCAGAGGCAGAGAGACTGGTCCAGGGCTGATGTGGGAGCAGCGTTGGAGCCCCTGCTGTCCTCTGCTCTCTGTGGCAGACATTCTACGCTGCCATCCCAACCTGGTGTGCCCTGCGATTGCCACCTGGGGTGATGGTCCCTAGACCGCCACGTTGGGATTGGGAGACAGTGCTCTGGGTAGGGCCAGCGGCCCGGGCCAGGGCATGGAGTCTTGGGAGAGCTTGGCCTTGGTGGGGCCGAGTTCAAGATGAGTGGCTCGGAGGGCGTAGGGTGGAGGAAGCGGCGGGACGGGTGGTGGGCAAGGGGGACGTCGGCCGCACCAGGCTGAGGGCAGTGTGGACTTCCTCCTGGAGCGCTGGGGACTTGTGGGAAGCTGTGACATGCTCATGACTGAGGATCTGTGACGAGATACCTCTGGCCGCTGGTGTCGGGAGCTGCAGAGCAGGTGGCGTGGCCCTTCTCAGGTTTGGTGTCCTGAGGCCCGGGCGAGAGGTGTGATGAGTGCCGGACAGTCCCCGGGTGCCTGACACCCCTGGCCAGTGATGGCTTGTCTGGGCGTGAGCCCCTTCCGCTGCACCCCACGCCTGGGCGTGGAGTGAGCCCGGAGGCGCTTCTTGTCCAGGAAGCTTGTATCCTTAGATCTCTCCAGGCTGAGATCCCATCTCTTATCCGGGGGTTTGGTAACGTGGGGCCTCTTGCCGGCCCTCAGACCACCCTGCCCTCACAGGCTCCCCTCTTTCGCTGTTCACTCGTTCACGCGAGAAAGAAGCTTTGAGGACTGCCGCGTGCCGAGCCCTGCACTGTCCGGGGCTCCCTACGGCAGGGGATAGAGCAGGGTGCCGTCTGATCAGCATTCCCAGGATGCTGTCGGGGAAGCAGGCTGTCACCACCCTCAGAGCCTCCCTGGGAGAACTTTCAGGGCATGGAGGTTATACGTGGGGGGAAACCAAGGCCCAGATGGAGGGCGGGGCTCGCTTTGGGTGACACGGCGTGCCGTGGCAGAGCGGGGAAGGAGTCTAGTCTCCTACCTGTGTCCAGGGTCCCCCGCATCCCTGCTTGGCCCCTGGACCCTGCTGCAGGAGCCCTGAGGACAGGTGCATGTGCTTCCCCGGGGATGGTGGGCAGAGTAGGGCGGTGGTCCACGGCCTGCTCCGCTTCTGGCTTTGGTACCTCTGCTCTAGAGCTGTGCACACGTCTGTGTGTTCTCTGTACCGGTTAAGGGCAGTTTTCAGCAGCTGCTGGCCCAAAGGGGCCACGTGTGAAGATAGAATCTTCAACAGGAACCGCTGCCATGTCATTTCCCTGATCCGGGAGCTGCTGGGGCTGCGTGCGGGCTCTTCTCCCCGCCCCCGGGGCCCGGGCTGCCTGAGCTGCACCCTCTCTCCTGGGCGCCGGGCAGTGAGGTTCCTCCGTTGCTGCAAACCACGGCTCCTCGTGCCTGCCTTCTCCCTTTGTGTCCCGCAACAGCTTCTGCACCAAAGCCACAGAGGTGGCCCTTGCCCCACGATCAGTGGGCAGAACCCGAGGCCGCAGGGACTGATCGCGTTTGCAGCTTCTGGCTCCTTGATGGGCAGGGGGCAAGGGTGCCGGGATGGCTTCGAGCCGCCTGGCTTCAAGGCCCCTTGTAGTCGGGAGCCTTCCTGGGGCCCACGGAGGCTCCGTCCATCCTCCTGGGCCCCGAGGCCCCAAGTTGCTGGTTGGTGAAGGCGGCAGAAGGGCAGTGACGGCCGCACGGTCCTCCCTGTGCCAGCCCAGGTCTGGGGCTCTCTTGTGTGCAAACTCGCGGCAGGGCGAAAGGCCGGTCATTCCAGAGCCTTAGGAAAGAATGCCCCCAAGTTCTCTCCTTGAGCTCAGGGGCCCTGTAGCAGGTGAGTGCCACGTGATCCCCCACGTCACCTCATGTGTTGTCTCTGCCTGCAGGTGCTGAGTCCAGGCAGGATCTCTGCTTTGACCAGGCTGCCGTCTTCATCGAAGATGCCATCCAGGTGGGTGGCACCCGTTCCCGGTGGCTGGGCCTGGGCCCGCCTCTAGGTTTTGTGGGGACTGGGTGACGGCTGCCCCGAGGGGCCCCTCCTCGCTGTCCTGGGGCCAGGGCCTCGGTCGCTGGACCGTGTGGCCGTGATTACCGTGATGACGGGCACTTCGGGCACGGCTCGCCTGGAGTCTTCCCTAAAGCAGGTGGGCACTGGGTGCTCTTTTGAACCCTGGAAACGCTCGTTTCGTTGAGTTAGCACCTACTGAGGGCCTGTCCGGGTCTTGGGAAAGATGCTCCAAGATGGCCAGACCATCCCCTGCTGGAAAATGCTATTGAGGCTCGATTTGGGAAATAGAATATGGAAGGGAGCAGTGTGCCAGGTGGGGGGCATCCTGGAGAGCGGCACCGTTGTAGGGCCTCGCACAGCAGAGGGGACAGTGTCACGGGCAGGCAGAGGGCACAGCTGTGCACTTAGAAACAGGTATCCACGCGGGACAATGGATGCCCAGGGTGTCCTGAGTCTGCCTGCTAACGTGCCCCTGCTGGGCCACGAGAGAGCCCTTTCTCCACGTGTGCGATCGAGTGGACTCCGGTCCACAGCCTGTGTCCCCGCCTAGGGCCCGTCGAGGGGTCAGCGGGGGCCCTGCACGGGGCTGGCCGTGCTGCGTGGCTCCGAAGGGGCCCCCGCTCATGCTCTCCTGCGTCTCTGACCTTCAGTACCGCTCCATTAACCACCGCATGGACGCCAGGTCGATGTGGCTTTACCGACTGTATTACTCCAACACCTGCCAGTGGTGAGAGGGGGCACGCCGCGCGGGGTGCCTGCGGCCTGGCTGGGTGGGGGGGAGGCCGGCTCAGGGTCCAGGCGGGCTCCCCCTCCCCTCTCTCCTTGCCACGGGGCCCAGCCCACGGAAAGCGGGGCCCTCCTGGTGATGAGGTCCAGCCACGCCACTGAGTTTTGGCCTGGGCACCGTCAGCTGACCGCTCCAGAGTGGGCACAGACCGCGAGGCGGGGGCTCTGCTTCTGGAAGCCACCGAGTGTGGCCTGCTGTCCTGCCCGGCCCTCTGCCGGCCCATGTGCTTTGCGGCCCAGAGCCTCGCTGGCTCGTGCGTTTCAATTAGGTCTGGTTCTTTTCTCAGGACGTTGAGCCTCACCATCTTCTTGATCCTGCTTTTGGCTTTTATCGAGACCCCTTCCTCGCTCACTAGCACCGCGGACGTCCGCTTCCGCTCGGCCCCCTGGGACCCGCCCTGTGGCCTCACCGAGAGCGTCGAGGCGCTCTGCCTGCTGGTCTTTGTGGCTGACGTGTCTGTGAAGGTGAGCTGGGCGCCATCAGGTGCCAGAGCGCGGGGGCCGGTGTCCCCCCAGCCTGCGTGCTGCCCTCCGGATTAACCTTTACGCTCCCGGAGCTGGCTGCCTGTTTTCTCTGACTGCACCTTCCCCCTGTGAGCAAAGGCCTGGGTTGGCTGGAGGACAAGAGACCTCGTCAGCTCTTCTCTCTGTGGACTAAACCGAGTCTGGGTTCGGGCCTGCCGGGTGCACGGCCTCGCGGGGCCTCCGGGAGCGGCCCAGGGTCTGGCAGTGCCTCTGTGAGGAGAGACCCCGGCGGAACAAGAGAGGACCGGTGGTCTCGCTCGTGGGCCGCCCTCCCGCCCCCAAGAGAGGAGGAACACGGGAGGAGGTGGGTGTGGGCCGGAAAAGGACCGGCTGCCGCGCGGTCTGACCCGAGTCCTTCGGGAAGCTGGAGGTGGGTCCGGCCTTCCTCATGTGAACTTCTGAGCCACGTCAGGGGTTCAGAGCCGTAGCGGCTTCCCAGCACGATGCGGAGGGGCCGAGAGATCTTCCTGTGGGCCACACGTCCTGTTACTTTGGTCCAACGGTGGTGATCCCAGCGCCACAGGCCCAGCCGAGCACACGCAGCTGGCCACGGAGCCCCAGTAGTGCGGCAGACTGTCCCCAGAGCCCCGCAGGGCCTTGGTCTGGTGCCTGCCGGGCTGTCCTGCTGTGGGGGTGGCTTCGGGCCCCTGCTGCTGGCGCTGGGGGCCGTGGGGGACCGAGGGCCCGGACCGCTTCACATTGTTTCTTTTTTAGCCCACGATGTGTTTATGGGTTTGAGGGTTTTCACACTGGAACTGAAACTGGGGAGCGGTTCTCATTAGCGTCTTCTGAACGGTTGGGACGGTTGGGGAGTCTCGAAAGATAGAGAGCATACATTTTTGTCTGCGCAGCGTGACCTCTGGATGCCCCTGCTGCCGGTGGCGCTGTTGGCACCTGGCCAGTGGGCCCCCGAGGAAGACCTGGTCTAGACGGTTCTGGGTGTGGGCCGGCCCTAACCAGAAGCGGACCACGAGTGCCGTTGCCCCTTTTCCAGAACGGCTCTTTTCCAGAGTGGTTTCTGTGCGCAAGCCAGACTGGCGGCCGGGACGGGCAGGACCGATGAGGAGGCGGGCCAGAGGGGTTAAAGTGCCCGAGGTCACCAGCGGGCTGGGGGGAGGGGTCTCTGCTGCGGGCGCCCCGGTCTCACCCCTGCGCGTCCACGGCCTCGGACCGGCTGCAGGGCTGGTGTCTGTGGGGCTGCCCGCTCGCCCGCTCACCCACCGCCTCTCTTGCAGAGCTATCTGGTTGGATGGGCCCAGTTCCGGAAGAACCCCTGGCTGCTGGCCTACCTCGCAGTGCTGGTCGTGTCTCTCGCGGACTGGATTGTGTCGCTGAGTCTGGTTTGCCAGGAGGTAGGTGGTGCGGTGGCTCCGAGGCGGGAGCGGGGAGCTCTGGGTGGCCCGTCTGCTGCCTGTCTCTTCCCACCCTCCTAGCATTTCAGTCAGCTGCTGGCCTTGTCCCGTCCTGTAGAAGAAGGCCCGTCCTGAGGCCCGGGGAGGGCACAGGGACTGCTAATTCCTGCCTCCCCACTTGTCAGCTGAATTTGTTGCCCGCCTGGGTCCCCCAGGAAAGCGCCATCCAGGGCCTCGCGCCCAGAGCTCTGGGGCCTGCGGTAAGAAGGCCCACATTGGCCACCAGTCCCCAAACCTCTCTGGCTGCACCATCCCCCCCCCCCCACCTGGATGCTCTGCCCCGTGATTGGATGGAGGAGAAGCAGGGAAAGTGGGTGTGGGGACATCCGTGTCCCTCAGGGCCAGTCGGGGACACAAGCCCATCGGGTGCTTTAGCCAAGAGAGTTTACATAGGGGCTTAAACAGGTGTCAAGTAACTGACAAAGCAGAAAGGGGCCCCGAGGGACACAGAACTGCAGGAAGCTCAGGGGACAGGCCCCCAGAGCTGGCGCCCCGCCCCTGGCGCCTGGAGGGGTGCAGATCACCAGTGCCCCTGCGGAGACTGCTTGGTTCTGGGAGTGCCGCAGGCAGGGCCGGCTGGCAGCCCCAGGGCGTGGGCACCCGCCCTAGGGACAGCAAGGGGACAGCAGGGAGCTGTCCGTCTGCCCCTCCGGTGTCCCAGCCTCTGTCCACGCCCTCGCTGGCAGAAGTAAGCGGGGAGCCGCTGCCGAGAGAGCTGCAGGGCTGACAAGGGGAGGGCGCCAAGGGGAGGGCGCGGGGCCCGCCTTCCACTTCCTAGCAGGAAAGAGCCTCGTTGGCTTACGAACCCACATCTGCGCAACAGGCCAGGAAGACGGAGCACGGCTCAGACCTCGCTTTGTTATCGGTGGGGCCCTTACAAGTTCCTCTCCCTCTGCGTCCCGCGGCCCTTGCCTCCGCCAGCTCCCCAGCAACTCGGGGCGCTTCCCCTCAAATGGGGACCCAGGCCTCCACTCCCGGGCTGTCCTTGGCAGATGGACACCCCTGCTGGCACGGCACCCTGCTTTGCATGAATTCTTACGTGTGTCCCTGGTGGAGCCCCCCCCCCCCCCCCCCGCTCCCCAGAGCAGCCGGACACCGAATCGTGGGGTCGGGGGAGGAGCTGCTGTTCCTGTCACGTCCTGGTGCTCAGAGCCTCTGATGCGCCTTCTGGTCCCACAGAGGGCTGTGCCCCACAGCTGGGGTCACTGAGCCTGCCTAGGGCCGTTGGGCCCTCCCTCGGGCCAGGCACTTCAGGGTGAGGGCCATCGTGAAGCCAGTGGGGGCTGTGGGGCTGCCCTGAAGCAGCGTGGGCCCCTGAGGCTCAGAGGGTGGCCCCTGGGTGGCCCCAGGCAGAGCCCCAGCCCGCACACCTGTCTGTCCGGTGAGGATAGCGCCCCTGCCTGGGGAAGGGGCATATCGCAGTCACCCACCCCCTGCCAGGGGGCCGCATCGGGCTGGGTGAGCCGAATTGAACCGGGCTCTGCTTCTGGAGGGCAGGGTGTCAGTGGTGCCCTGGGGGGAGAGGCTTGCACATTACAGGACGCGTCCTTCTGTGTCTTGTGGGTGTTCGCTCTGCCCGTCCACACATGCGCTTCCTGGACCCCATCCCCTGTGGTCTGGCCTGTTCTTTCCGTGCCCTGATCCCAGGAATCGTTACCTTTCCCGGTATAGACGGGGCGGACCCCGCTTGCCGCAGAGCTTTCCCTTCAGTACCGTCTCGGGGGGGATTCTCCCGATTGAGGCTGGAATGCCACAGGTGGTCCACTGGGTAGAGTCAGCCCATCACCCAGAACCGTCCAGAAACCAGGCCCCAGGTTTCTCCCTGTGGCCAGCTGGCCAGTCATAACTCACACAGGCACCAGGGCGGGGAGGGCGGGCAGGAGAACCAGGGCATCCCACCAACTCCGGTCTAGTCTCTCACGTCCTTTTCTGCTTTGTGGCCAGGAGGGTCACATCCCTCGTGGTCTACCGGTGACCGGATAGGCCACGGTCGCGACTCTGCCGTGCCTCTTTGTCACGGGGGACCAGGTATCTGCAGATCAGTGGTGAGCCGTGATTCTGTGTGGGCCTCCCAGGGGCACCCCACCCTGGCCCTAGGCTGGCGTCTAATCAGGGTTGAGTCTTGTGGATGAACCTTGCCATCCTTCATCAAGGCCACATGTCTCCGTGTCCATGACCCGACGTGGCCCCCGTGTCAGGAGGGCCCTTGGCAGGTCGGGTCACTACACCCGGGGAGAAGCCGCACCTTGTCCCGTGTCTGATTACTGGTGAGGGTCCAAGACCCCGGGTGCGGGTGCCAGCAGGACCTTCAGCCCCTGCCTGGCCTAGAGGGATGGCTGGAAGATTCGGGATCCGGGCCCTGAGACAAGGTTCCTTCCAGGGGCAGCGAGCGGATCGTGGGCGAGTTGGGGACGCTGGTTCCTCAGCCCACGGGGCAGGGCTGGGGGCGTGGCCCTGAGCGTCCTGAGCCTGGAGCTGGGCCCCTTCCGAGGGTGCGAGTAGCCGAGGGAGGTTGAGTCAGGCCTTGGGATCACCTGGGGTGCAGACGATCTGGAGGGTCTGCCGTGTGCTGGAGGGAGCTCATCCGGTCGCGAGAGACACCTGTGGGTGCGTGGCAGGATTCCAGAGCGGTCGGGTGTGGTGCAGGAGCAGGTGGCATTCGCGTGGGGACCGGAGGCATGGGCACCACCCTCCCGCTGAGCAGAGACGGGGGCCAAGGCCGCAGCCAGCGGGACGGCGAGGGGCGGGCCCTGGGCGGGCCAGAGTGGGCCTCCGGGCAGTCCGTAGGGCCTGGGGCTGACCTAGCTGTGCTTCTGAGACGAGAAGCCCAGGGGGCCCGGAGTCTGGAGCTGAGAGCTGGGAGGGGCGGGTGGACGTGGGAGGGACAATCATCACCGTGAGCCTGAAAACCAAGAGGCCCGATGAGCTCGCCGGAGTGCGAGGCCTCAGAGGGCAGGAGGGGCCCCGGGCGCCAGCACTCGGGTCAGGCCCCGGGAGACGGCCCGAAGCACTGGGCAGACTCAGGCCTGGAGGTCACCGGACAGGAGGACCGGCTGGGTCGGGAGCGGGGACACGCGGGGCAGGTGGAGGGGTGAGTGGGGGGGGGGGGGGG